ACTCATATACACTATTATAAATAATTATACAAAAAACACCTCGATAATAATACCAAAGCTATAAAACGAAATATAACAATAGTCGTACATTCAGCAAAGTACCAAGCGAAGAGCTTAAGTATACCTATATATGCCCAGAGGGACATCATATCATAGTTCTATATATGTATTCACAAAGTGAAGCCAAGATATTGGCAAAAAGCTGGAGGAAAAAAAGGAGAGAAGAGTCGTGCATAAAAGGACATAGTCATATAGGATACATCATAGAAGGTAGTCGAAGTTACGAGATTAGAAGAACTCCGGCCATAATTCGTGAGGTGAGAATAGTCCTAAAGGGGGGAATGCCCTGGATTTTAAATTTATTCACAGAACAACTACCTAGATGACAAAGGACAATATTAAAGTATTCATAAGAGCCATATGGTATGAGAATGAGAAGCGCATCAGTCAACATTCGAGGACGAATGTTCCAAAGGGGGGAATAATGTTACAACCCATGTTTTTGTACCTGAAAGTACGTCGTGAGTCAATTGATGTAAGCTCAAACAGGATGAAATCCTTCTACAAGGACAAGAAAGGTTTGCCGAAGTGTTAAGCAAGTTAAGATGAATATGAGACTTTTTAATCATGATTTAAATGAGTTTAAAGCCATTATATGACTATATATGATGTTTGTATATGAATTATAAAGTTTGAGAAAAATCGGATTTAAGTTGCGGAAAAACCGACTAAGGATTTGCCTTGTAATTAAGTTTTTTGAGTAATAAATTTCGTATGCTATATGAGGTCTTTTTGGGACATATTATATACCAAATTGAAGGTCTTGGAATGTAGTTTCCAACTCTCTTACTCATACGACATCCGGATAAAAAGATATAAGTATTTGAAAAAGGGCCAATGAGATGGTGCCAAGTAGCACTTTTTGACTTTTCAACCAAAATGGGTATTTATCTTCCTATGTCGTCTCTTTCTTCATAATTCCATAGAGCTCGACCAAATAAGACTTTTAACCTCACCCTTAAGCTATCCACAAGGTTATCCAACAAGATTATCGTCCGAGGCACGAAATCACGAAGCAATAACACTAGAACGATCCCCACGATATAAATATCGCTATATAACCTCTCTTTTTCTTTGTAGTTTGAGTTTTGGAAGGTATTTTGAGGTTAATAAAAATTCCTAATTTATGTTTTCAAGCTCTTAAACATCAAGGAAGATTGATTAATTTATTTCATAATAGTTAGAACTCACGGGACGGTGATCGAAAGCCGTGAGTTCGAGTTATTTGATTTGTAATGGACTGTTTTGTGGGCTGTTTCGTGCAGCTTTTGGGCTGTATATTTTGCTGCATTAATAAAATTTTTGGAAGATAAATGGTGTGGAGAAACACCACTTAATGGCGAAGTGATGGATTAGTCATTCTTTGTAATATTTTCGGGGTGTTGGACACTACTATAGTCATCGTTTTTAGTATGAATTAATTGGGGTATGTTGGGCTGTTGTAATCTAAATATAACATGGATTTCGACTTGCATCCACTGTAGGAGGTAATTATATTGTGTTTCTACATGCGCTTAAGGTTATTTTGGCATTAGTTAAGTTAAATGGATGAATTAGACATGAACTAGTGAATAAAGTTGCTAATTAAGAATAATTGGAGTTGTGGATCATTTTCTTTGTTATGGATATATGGTATAAGGCTGGAATTATTGATGAATGACTTCATTATCATGTTAATGATACTATTAAGTTAAATTAAAAAGTTTATAAGGGATGATATGGGGTATACGAATTCCAATTGGAGCTTGTCGCTCGTCGTAAAATAGTTATGACTTGTTGTTGTTTTATGGTGTTGTGTTATTGATAATTATGTATTGCTGGATTCTCTGGTAATTTTTGTTGGTATATGATATTGGAGGAGGCTCTTGCTACAAGGGAGATGCTGCCCGAATTTATATAAACGATCTACAAGTTTAAGTTGCAGACTTAGTCTTTATTCAACACTGATTTTGAATCTCCATATGCAATGGTAGATTGAGTTGAGTTTTTTGAAGAGTAGCTTGGGAGGTATTAAGGACTCACCATGGTTAAAGTATGTTAAGGCACTTCCCTCTTTCTTTTGGCATGATCTAAAGTGAAATGAATACGCTATTTCATAACATATCTACTCCTAGAAACTAAGGTTGCCCATGTTGTTCTTTCCTTATAAAGTTATTTTAAGCAAGTATGTATGATCCTTGAATCCTATAGAAGCTCATATTGATGGTATGATGTCCATAATATTAATTGAAGGTGCAACGACATTAAGTCACTCCAAAAGGTTTAGAACGTGATTCCATGAGTCTAGCATGCATTTATATATAGTATCTATTTTACTATACTGAGCCGCGCTATAGTAGGCCGGGTACGACATCTATTGTGCAATCACTGATCAGTTGGATTTACCGAGCTTCACGTGGCCGGGTACGATTCTACCGAGCCTTATTATGGTCGGGTATGTTTTTACCGAGTCCTCTTTGAGGCTGGTACGATATGATGATAATGATGATGCCTATAGAGGCGTATGTTTTTAAAAGTTTATTTATATATATGTATTATGCATATCATGTCAATAGCCCCAGAGGCACGCAGATGTTACAGGTTGTATCTCCTCTATCTCTCTTTATATTACTATTCTTGTTTATGCTTTCCTGCCTTACATACTCGGTACTTTATTTGTACTGACGTCCCTTTTGCCTTGGGACGCTGCGTTTCATGCCCGCAGGTCCCAATTGATAGGTTGACATTCCTCCGAGTAGGCTATCAGCTCAGCGGAGGTGCTGGTGCATTCCACTTACTCCGGAGTTGCCTATTTGGTCAGTATGCTTTGGATATGTATTGATTGGTATAACAGGGCCCTGTCCCAACCTTTATGATTTTATGTACTTTTAGAGGCTTGCAGACAGATGTCATGTATATAAAAATTGTATGGCCTTATCGGCCTATGTTCAGTGTATGAGTGATCACTTTGGTTTTATAGGCATGTATGTCACTTGTATAAGTTTCCATGTCATGTCAGGTCGTCCAATATTTAGTATTCCCTTATATTTTATTTTTGTTATCTCATGACGACCTTTCTAGGCCATTTACCCCTGATATTATGATATGACAGATACGTTAAGTTGGTACTCGGTTGAGTAAGGCATCGGGTACTCGTCGCGGCCCATCGGTTTGGGTCGTGACATATTTTTTGTTATGGTGTGAAATCATGTGTATTTTCTTGTAATTTTTTCATTAATTATAACAAGGCATTAACCATAGTTAAGTAATAAATATTCCATATATAATTTTCAGAAATTTTGATATTCCCTCCTACAAACTCCATTTCTGGCGCCAAAAGTTATCTCCAAAAGAATTTACCAATATGCATGTCAATCCTTTTAGAAATTTAAGTTGCAATCTACCGTAGTAAATTTACCCTTCCATTCCACAATTTTCTTTTCATTATTCTGGAGTTCACTATCGTTTAAAAAAATTTGAAATAATTATTTAAAAATTCAATCTAATTTTAACCGAAAAATTAAAATTTATTCGTAGCAGAACCATGTATTGGAGAGCTTTCAATTATTATTGTTGTCTTGCTTTCTCCTTTTCAATGGTAGATTTGTGGTCACATCTCAAAATTAACCTATGGATGTTTCTCATTCATTTGTATCAATAAACCTTGGGATAAAATTTTATTCATTTAGACTTGCATATGAATATTACTAAAGAAAACACTGCTAGAATTGGTTGGAAAGAAAATTACTACAAGAAAGAAAGAAGGAATCTTAGATAATGTGTAGCTATAATTGTGAGATTGCAAAAGATATTATTTGGTAATAAATAAAAGAAGGAATTAAATACTTTTAATTATGGTTAGGGCTTTATTTTGTTCAGTTAAATCCCATCCATTAATATTAAATCATGACAAGTGTCTCCAATCTAAGTAGGAACTCGAAAAAATGGAGAGATTAGGAAATGGAGGGGAGTTGGATCCAAGAATAACGAATTTAAAAGGGTAAATACTTACCCGCACCGGGTGTTTACACCAAACCAATAGATATATGACATATGTTTTGCATATGAACTTCAATCATTTAACCATATGGTAAATTATGTGCATTCTCATCTAATTAAATTAATTAATCATAGTGAGTTAATATAGTTTGATATAAACACACAGTGTGGATAAATATTTATCATTTAAAAGTATTATCTGTTTGCCAACTTTTTCTCTAATAAGACTTCCAAATTTGCTTTTTCTCTTAACCAAAACTAATAGCGGAAGTGAAGATTAGAGAAATTAGCACCTCATCTCAAAAAACAATTAGTGGAATAGATTATAGGTCGCATTCAAGCAAATGCGATTTATAAGTTGTATTTATTATAAGTCGCATTCCACTCGATTTATCTATCCAATTCAACCAATAATTTTAGTAAAAATAGCACGGTATAGTCAGTTTTGGGACTGGTTATTCAAAAATAGCCAATGTTTACGAAGTCAATGAAAAATAGCCACTATTTTGCTGCAACATAGACCGGTCCAGCATAATATACTGGAGCTCGGTGCACCTGTGTATGAACTTCAGCATATTATGCTGGACCGATATACTTTGTTGACTCCAGTATAATATACTGGAGACTAGAGCACCGGTGCTCCAAACTCCAGTATATTATACTGGACAATTAGAACTCCAGCATAATATACTGGAGTTTCAGCATACTTATCCTGGAACTCCAGTATAATATGCTGGAGTTCAAGCATACTTATGCTGGAACTCCAGTATAATGTACTGGTGTATTTTCCGGGTTTTGAACAGTATTAAATTTCATACTCAATCAAATGGGTTCACATAAATGGAAACCGAGATAGTACTAAATTATTTTTTGTCACATACCCGCTCTGATGGTGCAAGTACAATTCGGGCAAAATAAATTAGTCAACCTCTTATAAAGAAAAACGCCTAGCCCCTCTCTTCTAAAAGTCAACTATCATGGTTTCCTCTTAAGCAGATTAGGATCTATTGAAGATTCAACTAAAAGGGAGCTGCTCATTAATTCATCTCTTTTTGGATGTAATGTGCTTTTAAGCAAGTAAAACAGCTCCTTTATCAACTAACTAAGGTGGTTCATTTTCTTTTTAAGCTGAATTAGTTGTGTTTTATTTTCTACAGTAATGGAGTATTAGTATCTTTTCTTGTTATCTGTTGTTTTCCCCTTGTTTCGATCTTCTTATTGTGTGCTATAAGTTAGGGGTAACGTTTGCGTACGCACTATCCTCTCCAGACCCTATTTATCGGATTATACTGGGTTTGTTGTTCTTGTTGTTGTGCTATTTTGCTATTGCTATTGTTCTTGTCTTTGTTATTTTCAACATGGTTTATTCACTATATTTTTCTTAAGCCGAGAGTCTATGGGAAACATATCTCTACCTCTAAGGTAGGGGTAAAATATTGATACACATTTCCCTCCCCAAATTCCACTGTAGGAATATATTGGGTATGTTGTTGTTATTGTAGTAGTATTTTCTCTTGTGAAATGTGAGTTGGGATTACTTTCAGTTTCATTTCCTAATATGAGAATGGTTCAAATGATGCTAAAATGTGTTCAAGATTCCTTGAAGCTGCCTTCAGTTTTATAGCAAATACCAAAAAGAGAAAAGAAAAAAAAGTTCCTTTTGCAAATTCTACACTTTTCAAGCTCAGGTTCTTAATTTTTCTTTTCAGCTACAGTAATCATGTTTATTTTCTGAACATTGCAAATTGGACCTTGGGGTCTGCTTCTCAGTGGGCTTTTTCCCCCATTGGGATTGGGTGAAATGTTGCATGAATTATTGTTTAGTTGGATGACGGACTGCTGTGAGCAGTGGTAGAGCCAGGAATTGTAACAAGGGATTAAAAAAAAAAAAATCACACCTGTGATTTTAACCTGTATTTCTCTCATGTTAAGGAGATCCAAAACATTATATGTTTATAAGAAGAATTTTGATTTTACTCTATTTACGCAGTATAACTTTGCATGTGGCTCTGCCACTTGGTTGCGCGCAGGAGTTTTGTTAAGTATAGGGTGGGCAGAGGAATCATCAGAGGTGGATTCATGATTTGAACTTTATAAGTTTGGATTTGGAATCTACCACATCCCGTCTAATTTACTTGGTTCGAAATGTGTTATTTGTACTTAGTTACTGATCTTTTAACACAAACAAGGTCTAAGTAGCTTTTCTAAGTCCAAAGCTACTGGGTTCGAGTGAACCCATAGCTCCTTCACTCGATCTGCCCCTAGGAATAATGCAGCTTTCATTGATCTTTCGTTGGCTAGTAGTAGGCTTTAGATTTTATCATTTGTCAGTGCAATGAATAGAATATGACTAACCAAAGTGTACATTGTTGACGAGTTCTATTCGAAGATAATGAAGCAACTTGGATCCCTAGGGCTTTAGTCTAGTGGTAACAGTGCGACTTGTTATGTGTGGATTAGGCACATGTCACGATTTCGACGCAGAAAAATGCATAGAGGGGCGGGTCATCATCCACCGAGTTTCGAACCGTGTGGCATTGGCCCTCGGAGATGTCTCGGTTATCACAAAAAAGAAAAAGGATAATGAAGTAACTTGGAATGTCATTAAATCTGATTGAGTTGTCTTAATATTCTGTTTCACAAGTTGACCAGTAGAAATAGTTTTTGGAATAATGTGTTTGTTGTTTTGTCTAGTGATTCCTGGAGTCATTCAACTCTTCAGAAGGCAGCTTTCATTAAATTGTTGAGGAAGTGCAACAGCAGGTTATAGAGGATAGAAAAGTTCTCCTATTTCCACTCTACTTGGTTAAAGATGCCATCTACCTCTTATAGTTCATTACCACCTTCCAAACAGTGGGATTATGATGTGTTCTTGAGTTTTAGAGGAGAAGACACGCGTAAGACCTTTGTAGCCCACCTTTACAGAGAATTACGTCGGGCTGGAATCAATACCTTCAAAGATGATGAAACACTAGAACGAGGTGCATCGATTTCACCTCAACTTGTCAATGCCATTAAACGGTCAAGGTTTGCCATTATCATCTTCTCAAAGAACTATGCATCATCCAAATGGTGCTTGGATGAGCTAGTGAAGATCATGGAATGTCGAAATGAAATTGGGCAGGTAGTTATACCAATTTTCTATGACATAAATCCATCAGAAGTACGTTCCCAGAGAAATAGTTTTGCCGAAGCCTTTTCCAAATATGAGGAGGAATTCAAGGGTGACACCAATAAGGTGCATAGTTGGAGGAAAGCCTTAAATAAAGCAGCCAATTTGGCAGGCCATGATCTGCATAGTACTACTTACAATGGGTCAGTAGCCTTTCTCCTTGGCATTAAAATTCTTGATCTTTTTGCAGAAAGTTATTTCTTATACTGTTGAGTTTTTCTTGGATAATGGGTGCATTTGCACAAAGAACTTTCATTCGTAGACTTCTCTAGTCTTGGGCTAGGAAGCAAAAATATTAATGTACCAATTACTTTGTGTATCCCATGAATTTATTTAGCCGCAAATAACCCAGCCATCTATTCGCAGGGGCATACGCACCTTATACCATGGGGTGTCACGGGACAATGCTTGGTCGAAATTTTTCACTAGATAGTTATAAGAAAAAATGAAAATATTGGGGATACGTATAGAAAATGACACCGCTTGTCATTAAAGTCATTTATTCGTTTGTCCATTTCTTCTAATTATGACATTGCTTTTGTAAAATCCTGCGCCACTATCTACTCGTTCACTTTTCACACCTGTAAAATACACAGGTTAGCTAAAGTTATCTCGTTCTAACAAGTATGGTAATTACAATCCTTTTTGCCTCACGGTGGGTGGGTAAGCAGGAGGGGGTACTTATGGTTAGACTAAATGGCCGAGAAGGTTAGCGAGGTTTCTGCTATGGTGAAGTGAAAGATCTTTCACTATAGTAGAATTAGAATCCAAGATAAAAAAAAAAGAAACAAAGTAAGGTCATTACTATCCTGTTTGTTCTTACAACTCCTATGTAATCCTATTTGATGATACCAAATTCACAGTCTCCTTTTTTGTTTTGATCTATTTTGTGCTTTATTTAAGTGTCTTTTTCTCTTCTTTACTTTAAACTCTTTTCACTTAGATTGTCATTGTCTTCTCTTTCTTGTGCAGAAATGAGTCTTGGTGCATTCAACGCATTGTGAAAGAGATAGCTAATGAGTTGTGCCAAAAGTCGATGATCAGTGGCACTCTAGTCGGAGCAGAATCACAAATTCAGGCTGTAAGCTCGATGTTGATGATGGAATGTGAAGATGTTCGATTTATCGGTATTTCAGGGATGGGTGGTATTGGCAAGACCACTATTGCAAGAGCCATTTTTGACAGGTTTGCTCATCGATTTGAAGGTGCTTGCTTTGTTGCAAATATTAAAGAAAATCAAGATAAACAAGGATTGCTGTCTTTGCAAAAGACTGTGCTTTCTAAGGTGTTGACAATTGAATCTGTGAATCTTGCTGATGAATATGGTGGAATTGATATAATAAGAAAAAGGCTTGGCTTTAAGAAGGTTCTAGTAGTTCTTGATGATGTGGATCACCAAAACCAGTTGGATGGGCTAGCTGGAGCCCATGATTGGTTTGGTAAATACAGTAGAATTATTATAACAGCGAGGGACGAGCACTTGCTTTTGAACTGTGATGACACTTATAGA